GAGGTTGTCTTGAAAAGACAATGACACGATCAGACGCTGTGAAGGTTGTCTTGAAGTGTGCAACACGATCAGACGCTGTGAAGGTTGTCTTGAAGTGTGCAACACGATCAGACGCTGTGAAGGCTGTCTTGTAGTGTGCAATGTGGTTAAGGTGCAGCTGTCTTGATGTATTCCATCAGACGCCAGTCGGGGTTGTCTAGAAGAATACTATCAGACGCTCACGAGAGTATTTTTGAAATTATGTGTTGCTTGGTTACTGTTTCATAGCCAGCCATGCAAACATTTGTAAACACTAGAATTCTTGTTTCTCCCTGTAAACGCTTAGCAAATTGGAATAGTTTGTATCGTAATTTAATGCTAGACGCAGTTATGATTACTTTTCCTGTACACCTTTGTAAATATTGCACTTTCTTGCATTTTTGTTTTTCAAGCTAACCCTTACTTTAGTCAGGCTGACCGAGCAAGAGTTGTGCTACTGCTTTGAGTTTTCTTTTCAGATACCCCACACGAGGACGTGTGAAACGTCAAGATGGCCGTGTCGGAGCACGCGACAGTAGCGCCACACTTGGCCGGATCGGCTAGTTGTAGAACTTATGTTGTAATCTGTCAACATAGGTTTTCGTTTAAAAATCAAACCAAAGGCAGTATCTTTTCTTTTTCTTTTATTGGTTGCGTCAAGTATCCGAACTTGGGCGTAGTCGATACGTGGCCGGCTGGTTGGGCCATATTGTGGCCATAGACTAACTGTCAATTTGTAACCTCATGTTGACACTGTGAAAACAAAAAAAGGAATGCTGCGAACCTTACGAGATTGACGTCCTGCCGTGGATGGAAAATCAAAAAAAACGTGAAGATTCATTTTTCAGATTGCGACGGCAAAACTGTCGAGTTAGGCCGGCCGCAGACATACGGTTTCCGTATTAGGTTTCCGAATTCGTTTTCCGTATGCGGGCATCCGAATGCATAGATTCAATATAAAATACATTAACTGACGCACACGTTCGTTTTTTTTCCGTACGGAACAAAATCCGAACGTGTATTCCGAATGCAAGCCGGCGCGTTCGGAGAAACGTACGGGAAAAAACCTAATGACGTCATGCGGAACGCAGCGCTTGCATACATTTTGTTTGTGCCGGCGCACACGTTCGGAAATTTCTATTCAGTTTTGCGCCCGCGGCGCGCGCATCGGACGTATTCTTTGTATTTGTTACGCATAGAATCGCAACACGATAATGTGTGAGGCAGAAACATTAATATTGGCTGTTGAAAAATACCCCTGCCTGTGGAATATTCATGACAATGACTATCACAACAAAGATGTCAAAGATTTGGCCTGGGAGAATGTATTTAAAGAGGTTATAAAGGATTGGGACACGTGCACTAAAGTGGACAAAGAAAACAAAGGTAAGATATTTTCTATATACTTTTTAATACAATAGTGCCCACATTTATTCTTGTAAATTATTAATTCTCTCGTTATATTGGTACGATATTTCCCCTGCCGGTGTCATAAAGTACTCAGCAAAATTGTCTCTTATGTTTCGACCTCGGTTTGTGGATCTGTGTTGTGGACTACGGTAAGGTATATCTTCGAAGTAATGTGTCAGAGTATCTTCAAATCGATAGCCGTCTCGTCTGCGTACAAAATTATGTAACACACACGCAGTCTTTGTTACTAATACTGCAAATTCTGGTGGAATCGTCATGCTAGTGTGAAAAATTCTCCATTTATTCGAGAGAATACCGAAGGCACATTCCACTACACGTCGTGATCTGCTGAGGCGGTAGTTAAAAATTCTGCGTTGGGTATTGAGATTACTTCTCGGATATGGTTTCATAAAATTGTTATTCAGTGGAAACGCTTCATCGCCAAGAAACACAAAAGGTAGTGGTGTGTCATTGGTATTCGGCAGAGGTTTTGCTTCAGGCATATTAAGACGATTTTGAATTAACTTTTTTCCAAAATTCCAGTTGTTAAAAATATTACTATCGCTGTCTCTGCCATAAGCACCGACATCTACAGCTATAAAACGGTAGTCAGAATCTACCACTGCTAATAGTACAACAGAGTAGAAATGTTTATAGTTATAAAAGGCAGATCCACTATGCAGAGGAGAAATCAAACGAATATGTTTCCCATCCACTGAACCTACGCAATTAGGGAAATTGGTTCTTCTATAATAATTTTCAGCAATTTCTAGCCAACGTTCTTTTGAAGATGGTGGCTTCATTTCCAAAGGTTGAAAAACTTCCCATATTGCTGTACAGGTTTCCTTAACTACGGCTGATACGGTCCTGCTCCCCATCAAATATTCAAAGTGTAACTCTTCAAAATTTTTACCCGTTGCCAGGAATCTGAAAAAAAGATATAAAATAATATTAATTACATTTCAGGTGCTGAGGCAAAGAAAAAATGGACACACATAAGAGACTACTTTCGAAGAGACTTTCAAAAAAATAAAAGCGCTCCTACAGGCAGTGCCGCTAAAAAGGTTAAAAAATATGTTTATGCAGACCTGTTGTATTTTCTTATACCGGTATTCGATAAAAGAAATACCGAAGGAAACTATCAATTCGATGATTTACACAATAATAGTTCACAAGAATCTGAAACGCAAGAACACAGCGTGGAACAAATAGATCACCATACAAATATATTACAACCTCCATCACCTGTATCAACTCCACCTGCAAGTAGTTTAAAACGAAACAAAAAAGATATCCCCTCCCAAATACTCAGTATCCTACATCAAAATCAACAGAAAGCCAATCAGAAACAACAAGAAGTAGAAGACGACGACATGAAATTTTTATTGAGCTTTAGAACACATATGAAACATATGAATGAAAATCAAAAAATTGATTTTAAATTGGGAATGTTGCAGTTGGTAAAAAAAATCAATACTGAGTACAATTCATCTCCATCTTCTTCACTGAGTTATGATAACTTCAGTCACCGTTCAGAAACGCCGGCATCAAGCCGTGATTATTCCCCCTCTTTTTCATATATTCCTGTACCAGAAACTCCATTGCCCACCTTTATTAGTACATCTTCTTCGCAAAATAAAATCACTAATTATCAATCTGCCCCAAACAATTCCAGAGTGGTTATTAACTCTATTAGACATCTGCCACCGCTTCAACCACCACGTCATCACTACACATCACCTAATCTTCAACATGCCGAAGATACCGAAGCTGCAAGTTTTTTAGTTGTACAATCTCAAGGACAAGAACAGGAAGATAATATTGGCAAATACCTAAAGTTTAACTAAGATAGTTGATTTGTTATTTTTGTAAATATAGATGTAAAAATAAAGAGAACTTACCTCAAGGTTACGGTTAGTTTTTCTTCTGTATCCAAGGATAATCTCATGGAGGTATTTTGCTTTATTAATTTATCACGTATGCCATTATGAAGTTCATCAAAAGAATTTATTGACATCCTGTAGAAATCAAAGAATTTATCTGGGTGTGCTCGTAACTTAGTTCTCTTCAGATAAAACGAACTCTCGTAGATTCTCCGAGTATTCAATGGATGTACCCAATACCGACGTTTCTTTTTCTTCTTTATTGTCAACAGAAATGCAATTGCTAATAAATCGTCGTCCTCCATCGTCGTGCGTTCACTACGCTATCACTATCTATACTGACGTGTATACATTCCGAATGAAGAAAAACGAACGTTTGCGCTAGTCTCACGGAATTCCAAATCGAAATTCCGCATTAGGAAATCGAATACGTAAAACGTGTGTATGCGGCCAGCCTTAGTCAGCCCCGTGTCGAATTCGCCGCGCAACCAAAGTGTATCCGTTTGCATCTCGATTATCGTGATTATTCAAGAATTGTAATTGCTGGCAAATAATAAAAGCCTGATCATCGTAAATTACGTTTTATTTCTGGAATCTACGCCATTATGGAGCCTCAGCGCCTGGATGCCCCGTCATATAAATATTGTTAGTAGTATCAAACAGTTCAGTGTTTACTAAACGACAACTTATTTTATGTTTATTAAACAATATGTGGCAATATATATTATTTATTTATTATTTATTATTTATGCACATCACTCATACAGTACTGCATATTCCTATATGGAATCGCTTCCTGCAGTCCTTCGAAAGGAAAAATGTAAGAGTCATAAGACACGTATTATTACATTATTATAGAAAAACACTATACTATACTGTATGTTATGTCATATAGTTGGAAATTCCAAAAGAAACGGTTACTATATCCACAATAAAGAGACATAGCATTGATTAGCGAGAATCAACATAATTATACAAGAGGTCTTACGACTTCTTATCGTGAGATTTTGATAACATGTAATTAGTTTTTTTATGATTTAATCTGATACGTCCTCAGAGCATAATTGTTACACTAGTTCAGTGTGAGAGTAAACATACGTACCTACTTGTATAAATATAATTATGTATACGAATGTTTGTATCTATAATTATTGTCAGATTCAAAGAAAACATATATCGTAGGGATTCAAAACTGCCAAATTTTTCAATCAAAGGATTCTAAATTGCCAAAAGTCTGACTTTAGATATTTATAGTCTGTTTTGAAATTAATAATCTTTATATACTATTTGCACGAGTTGCGTGTCAGCAGCGCAATGAGGCACCGGGGCCTCGGTTTAGCAGGAGAAGGAACAGGGGGTGTATATCAGTAAGAGTCTAACACTTCCTCTCGCCTCACTCTGGGCGAAAGAAGTCATTTGAAGATTCTCCCAACAAAACAAAAAAAAAATATTATTGGGGTTTGTCATCAAATGACTTATAAAACAAATTCGCAATGCATAAAACTACACCGCTCTTTCTCCAGCTACGAGTCTTAACCCCAGTCGGAAATCTTCCAAACGTGGGGACTATGTTATATATAGTACGCTCTCTTCAATAGTGGTGGCCCAAAATGGTCCAGTAGATGAATGTTTTGCACTTTTGATGATTACAAATATTTCAAAAAATAAACTGTAATTGTTTTGTTCCAGAATTTAACAAAGAAAAGGTTCCAGACATAAGAAAACGATGGTGGAGAAGATGTCGCGGTACAGATATGGGCCGCTATTGGTCTTCCAAATCTTTCTCATGATTTTATACATACTGTTCACTACGTATGGAGGTGCTGAAGAAGCCAATGTTAAAGGTTAGTTTTTTTTGTAATTATGTGTTTAAGGTTGAAGATTCATTGATAAAGATCGCTAGGAGTCGCTGGTTGCAGAAGGAATTCAATAGGCTAGTATGAAAGTCTCTGGCAGATGCTTTGCGACTCATATGGTGATAATAATATTATAAGAAGATGTCATGTGAATGAAAACGCTCTATTTGGATATTGATACTTAAGTTTTTAATATTAGAACACAATATCAAGTACAACCCCGAAGTGTATGATGATTAGAATAATTTTTAAATAGAAGATTTGCTCTACTCAGTAATATAATAAAATACTTCAGACACTTGAGACACTGAAGTTACACATATTAATTAAGATGACTGAATCAATTAAACGAATATATTATTAAGACGCATTCGTCAAAATTGCATTAATATTGTGCTTGAACATTTCTGCCCATTCCATCAGGGATCAACGAGCATGACATTAAATTGTTATTTAGCACTCATATCATGTGACAATTAATTATTTCGTTGGTAATTCGATCGGGATGATAATTGCTATGAAGTCACGTCGCCAAGGCACCGATGCCATCAATTTTTGCGTTCGCATATTAGCGTAAGTCAACAAGCCGCTCCATTAATCTATATTCCATCTTTATCTGGTCGACGTGTTCAATTAATTCATTCGCGCTTCCTCTACAAATCCATATGCACTGTTCTAATTTATTAAACAAGAATGTACTGTTTTAATGAACTGCACTAAAATATAGTTTTATGCAAACGCATATTATAACGTTGAATAACGTATGTAGTTTAATTATTATTTTACTTGCAATTGTGAAATTTTATAACAGTTATTCGTTTTAGTTATGCCATTTTATTTTATGTGACATTTTCTGAAATTGTATTTACGTATGATTGTTGTCACGGATGCGAATTTTAATAGTAATAAATTATTTTTTGTTATGACATATTTATTTATTATTTAATGCATTAATAAAAAAACTGACTTTGAGATTTTTAGGCATTATTTGCTTACACGAAGGATAAAAGTGAGATTTTATTTGTACCTATTTATATATTTAAGATTCAACACTAAACTCTCAAAATTAGCATATCAATTTCCAAGTTATTACACAGACAGACACATACGTAATTTAAAACGCTGTCAGTAATGCTATGCAAGATGTGTAGAGGGCGCCACTGTATTATGTTTCACACTAAATTGTTAATGTCATCGCGAGCGTTGTCAATTAAAATAATGCTCTCCGTGTGAATAAGGACTGGCGTACAATTAATTTGCTTGAAATTCCACATTAATCCAGTGAAGTCGAGGCCGGTAACGAGTGGGTACGGATTCTAGGTAGGGTTGGCGCTGTAGCTCGAAGAATACAATTAAAAATAGTCTTTAATATTATATGCTTAAGCTACAACTAGCTGGTATAAGTTGAAAAGTATTAGCGCTAATTCCTCTTTTGTATTAGACTTTTAAACATTATTTTGATAGACGACAGCTCAGTAAGTTTGAACATATCACATTCATTTATTGTTAGTATAAATGTTTATGATACGAGTGTGTTATTATAGCTACTATTATATTAAAAACAATTGTAAAGTAATCCTTCATGTATATGAAAACAATGACACGATATCATAATGCAATAAAACTGAAGAAGGCTAGGGAATTATTGGATTTCTTAGCGTAGATTTACGAGCAAGTAAATTTAATTGGTAAAATGTTTATTTTAATATTGCAAAGCTATTGCTTTTTATTTTTAACATTGATTTTAAGCATACTAAAAGAGCGAAAACGTTATTTTTGTATTAAACTGATGGGTGGCCTAATATTAAAAAAATGTTTATATACTAGCTTCCACCTGCGGCTTTGCCCTCGTGGTGTGTTGATCAAAAGTAGCCTATGTCCTATTCCGGAGTCCCTATATATACTATGCCTGTGCCAGATTTCATCTATGTAGATCCGTCCAGCGGTTTTAGCGTCATTGAATAACAACTGTCTAAATATCGTAACTTTCGCATTTATAAGATTAGTAAGAGCTACACACGGGCGGCAACGCGGCGACCCAACTGGTCGTTTGCCGACCTACGACATAAAAAATATAAAAAGAGTTGTACTAGCTACAACCCTATAGTGTTGTCAACTGCCAGGGAATGTACCCACAAATTGAATTCTAGACATATGTATGAGAAGATTCTTATTATAAATTCCATGTCTCATTTAGTGGATCTTAGTACTCTATGTGTGTTTAGCAATGTTGAGTTACATTTGTAACTATACCTACAACGCATTTCTTTCATATAACATTTACAATGTACATATGTTTGTGCAGTGGAATCTTGCAACTTTTAAAGAAGATATCTTCAACCAATTGATTTTCGTATAAAAATAAAATGTATTTAAAGTTTTAGTTTCTTGTTGTTAAGTTTATCTGTGTTCTGCGCAAAAATAAATGTATTTTCTTTCTTTCTTTCTTTCGGTGTTAACCTACCTCAATATTCTTTAATAATATGGACGGCTATTTCAACAGCAACTCACACTCTGTCCGTAGCATAGGAAGCTTAAAATCCAAAGTTGATCTCAAACCAACCCGAAATATTTAATAGACTATCAACCTTAGTTGTGTTGTTATAAATTCGAAAATCAGTTTTACAGATAAGAGTGCATATGTTGAAATGTGTCTGAAGGTGCATTGTAAAACGTACAAGGCAATTAACACATTGATAAATTTTTGGGGATTCGGGATGGGAACGCGGAAACTGGATTAAATGCTTTCACAGGGCCAGGGTCAAACTGTTGCTCTTTTTTATTGATAGTAGCAATTTAGTCTTTTTTTATTTCATACTAGCTTACGCGCTCTCCTTCCCCCTCGTGGTATGTTGATAAAACCAACAGCCTATGTGTAATCCAGGTTATCATCTATCTACATGCTAAAGGACATGGCCAACTTTTGTATGGGCGTTTGCATAGTTATTGAATAAAATGTACATCAATGATTTTTGGTGTTTACATTCGTGAATATTATTAAATTAAATTGCAATAAGTAAAACACATGAAGAACTCGTAATTACAACACACAAGACGAAAATAGTTTCACTAAACCTTTAGTCAGATGACTGGCACGTAAGTGCACGAAATAAGATTTGCTTTTAAAAACCTACAAAAGAAAAGAATTGGTATAAATAATAATGATTTATTTATTAAGGAGAATAAATAAAATAATAATTCACTTTTATATTTTTATATTACAGTGTATTTTATTATGTTTGTGTATATGGAATGTTCGTTTCTGCATGGGCGTTGGCACAGTTATTGAATTCAAGGTTCATCAATGATTTTTGGGGTTTTACATTCGTGAATATTGTTACATTAAATTGCAATAAATAAAACACATAAAGAATTTGTCATTAAAACACACTAGACGATAATAATTTCACTGAACCTTTTGTCAGATTACTGACAATAAAGCATAAAATAGGATATGCCATTAAAAAACTATAAGGCGTATTAATTATTTACTTATTTATAAAATAAAACAAATGAATAGGTGTAAATAGTAATGATTTATTTATTAAGGAAAACAAATAAAATAAAACTACGTAATAATTCATTTTTCTATTTTTATTTTACAGTGTATTTTATTATGTTTGTGTATATGGATTGTACGTTTCTGTAATATATATTCTGTATAATTGGGTAATAATATGGTAGTACTTTCCCTTTGAAGCGGCCCGGTTAAAACAGGCGGTAATGGTGGTGGCTCTGGTGGGCTAACTACTTGAACATAAGGGGCTGCTGCATTGTTATCAGAAGCCAATTCCTGCACGTTGCCTGAAGCTGATTCTTGCACATTTTTCGATCCCAATACCTGCAAGTTTCGTGATAAGTCCTGCACTGCCTGTCTATTTGCCCGCATCCAGCACACATGACAAACATAGTTGTTTCTTGAAGTCTGAAAATAAACTTTTCAAGTTTTATGTTATTGTAAAATGAGAAGAAAAGAAAGAAAGAAGTCTATCCAAACATGAAAAATACATAAAGATAGATATTATAATCACACATACATACTATGAGTGCTATTTTTATAGATTTTTATAGATAAATACAAGTAGATATATAAAATAATGAATTAAAAACAAAATGCTTACCACAACCACATTAATAGTATTTTGTGATATTAGGCCAGCAATGGAGAGTCCACACTGACATAATGGTGTCTTATTTTTCGAACCGATTTTCCACAACCAAGGCAAACCATGTTATGCTCCAGTAGTCTCTCATGTTCACCAGCCTCAGTATTCAATAATGAGAAGCATGGTTGACAAATGAATATCTCCAGAGGCAACTGAAAAAGATGCACTATTTAAAATAGCATACCATTATAAAACATAAAAAAACAGACTAAGTATTATACTATTCCGACTTCATACCTGGGTTTGAGCATTGGTTAACCAACGCGAAAGTATTGTTGGATGGTGTGCAGAAAGCCAGAATATAAGACGCCTCTGCAGCCTTTGTATGGCTATTCCGCATTTGATGCACCTCATCGTAATCCACAAAACAAATACAAAACGCAAAACAGTCCAGTACTCCAGTATTATTAGCAAGGTTAACAGAAACACGCTGTCAAAAGTGTCAAATGCGTTCCGTTTCGTTTAATTTTTTGTTTTCGGTGATTTGAATAAAAATTAAAACATAATATTATTATAATACGAGTATTTTATAAAATGCAACTAGAACCAATGAATACATTTTCGTATTAATAAAATGTTCCTAGTGTAATGCATTTGTCGATCATATCACACGTTTTCTACGAGTGTTTACGTACGAGTGTTGAATTCACATACATTACTTATATATTTTTTAATAATAATTGTCAAGTCTGGAGAGGCTAAAAACTACGTCATAATTCATATTTCTATTTTTATTTTATAGTGTATTAATTTTGTTTGTGTACGTGGAATGTACTTTTTTGGCCATGTCCTTTCAAACAAATCATCCCAGCTGTTTTTGCG